TGCTGAAAGATGCGAGTTAGAGGTGCTGCTAGCTGGTCTGCACATCTTCTCAACAATCTTGGGTTCAACTTGTCTGGGCCCACAGCCTTTTCTTGGTCAAGTGATTTAAGAAGGAAATGCACCTCCTCCTCCCTTATTGTCACCACTGACAGTTTTGACACAGTTCTTGCAGCTAGCCAAGGAGGGTCCTTGCTGGATCAGGAACTTGCATTTTGGTAGCAAAGTGTTTTAGCAAAGAGGTCCGCCTTCTCTTGGGCTACTAGTAGAGGTGGTCCCATCCTGTCGATTTAGAGGTGGAATAAGTTCATCAGGCAGATAACCTTGTCTGTCCCTTGACCAGGGACCACCAGGTTTTGGAGCCTACCCTACCTGATGCTAACTTTCTTTTAGTGTCCACCTCCCATTTAGCAATGGCCCCACTTTTGAACATCACCCATATGCCTACATGCTTGCATGTGCAAGTTCCTGTTATAGGTGGTAGGATGTCTTTTATACCTTCGCCATGCTTTGTACTTAGCAGTAGCAGCCTCTCTACAACGAAAGCCAAACCAAGGCTGATCTGTAGGCTTTGTCACATATTTTCCGGTGAGGAATGTGTTCTTGTTGCAGATTAAGGATGTGTCCAGTGAAGGCTTTCACTTGGTTGTTTAACATCCCCCTGGAGAAGAGGCATTCCAGTCGGTGGTGGCGGAGCTCAGAGCAAAGGGCTGGCCAATTACCTCTTTCCCCATAGCCAAATTGTGCGTGTGGACTCCTCACCTCCCTTTTGTTGGGATCTTAAGTGTGGTAAAAAACAGCCTTGTGGTCAGACGATCCAACGTAGCCGAGGGGTTGACAAGTGACTATGCCCTTTTGCCAGATCACTCACTACTGGGTCAAGGAGGAGCCCGAGATATGAGTAGGGAAATCAACAAAGTTTCTCATGTCAAACACTGCAAGAAGGTCATCAAAGTCCCTCTGTATAAGGTGCTGGTTGAGGTCACCAACAATTATAATATGTGACAGTTTTTGTTGTAGCAGAAGGGAGTCAATATTTTCCATTAGGAAGTTGATTTTGGGGTCTGCGTGTTGCCACTGCGGTCTGTACATTGCACATGCTAGTACAGAGGTACTAGTGTTTATACAGAGCTTGAAGAACATCATTTCAAGATGTGTAGGGGTGGCAACATCTATGTGCTGGGCATGAACACTTTTAGAGAAGCACACAGCAAACCACCTCCTTGCCTTGCCTGTCTCTTCTCATCCATGAGGTGTAGCCAGCAATTTTTGCAAAATTTTTTTGGAGTTCCTGTCATCCAAAAATGTTTCAACAACAGCTATCATGTCGGGGCGTTTGAGTGTTCACAAAGCTATGTGTGAGCTCTCCAACATTAGTAATGAAACCTCTAATGTTGGCCGACAGGATGCTGATAGAAAATGGCTCCTCATGATGAAGTGGTTAGCTTGAGGTGGTGGGTGTGTAGGAATGTAAGGTGCCTGCCCTTGAGAGAGGTAGGGTACTGAGGCAGCTGCAGGGATGTAGGTCTGTGGTCGTGTATAAGGCCCAATCCCACCTGCTGGGCTGGGATAGGAGTAGCTAAGTGGGTGACATGTGAGAGTGTTCACCAATTCAGAGATCCTGCTGGTTTGTTCTGAGAACAGGTCTCTAAACAGGTGGCCCTGTCTGTCAAGTTCCTTTTTCTTCCGACACTGGTCCTCCTTATGGCCTTTCTTGTAGCAGTAATTACACCTGGTATCTCGCAGGCAGTTGTTGGCAGAGTGCCCCTTCCGGTGACAGCGAGAGCACAGCCTAGGTGCCTGGGAGGCACTGGGAGGCTCTCTCTCTTTCTCTCTCTCTCTCTCTTTTTTTCTCTCTCTCTTTCTCTCTCTCTTTATACACAGGGTTTGACAAGGTTAAAGGATCCCTAGCTTTATTAACAAGCTATTTACAGGTTAAGGTTTCCTAACTTTATTGACAAGCTAAGAGCTGTTACCTATATCATCTCATTTGAAAGCATTTTTATTGTTATGAGACATACAAGTAGGGAACAGGATGAAGTTGGAGCCATCTGTGGGCCAGCATTTTCATCTGATCAACTGACTTTATCTCGTTGACATCATTATGGGTGTACGAATTGGTTCCAGACTCGAGTCATCCTGGTATGTATGATCTCAGATGGAGGGGAAGTTCTGGAGAAGGGCACAGCCAGAGTGAAGTTGCTGCTGACTGGGCCCGTCTTGTGGTATAGAAGCTTGTTTCACGCTGTCCTCGAAGTGGCTCTCTCTTTACACATGGTTTTAAAAGGTTAGGATAAGATTCCTAACTTTATTTATAGGCTAAGAGCTGTTACCTACATCAGCTCATATGAAACCTCTCTCTCTCTCTCTCTCTCTCTCTCTCTCCTCTCTCTCTCTCTCTCTCTCTCTCTCTCTCTCTCTCTCTCCTCCCTCTCTCTCTCTCTTTTCCTCTCTTCTCTCTCTCTCTCTCTTCCCCCTTCTCTCCGTTCTTTCTTTCGTAACCACATTTAGATCCTCTTGCATATTTGCATATTAATTTATTCACAGGTGGTTCAGGTCTGGTGCACACTCTTTCGCCACCTTTTTCATTAACTCCTGATTATGATTATTTTCTTTCCCCCCCAGTGATCTCTCTCTCTCTCCCTCTTTTTCCTATCTCTCTTTCTCTCTCTCTCTCTTCCCCTCTCTCTCTCTCTCTCTCTCTCACTCTTTTCCTCTCCCCTCTCTCCTCCTCTCTCTCCCCTCTCTTTTCTCTCTCCAATAAATAAGTCACTGCTAATATATTTTCCTGTGGTAACTCTCCCGAACCCCTGAAATTATTTTGGTGAAATTACACACGGTGTGAAAACTGGGTTTTAAAAGTTTTACAGTTTTTGTTTTATTGGCAAGGGAAGCGCTAAACCCTTATTGGCCCTGTTGCGCCTGGGGGGAATGAGAGGCATTCAGATTCGATCCAAGGAAGGGAAATTAAGTAAATCCAGTTCTTTGGATCAAAAGCCCCTTCACCTCGAGTGATCCATTGACACCCTTTACAAAATATTCCTCATCTTAATATTATTTCTCATAAGACGCATGAGCAACATTTAGGTCACATTACTGCCGCATCTTTATTGTGGAAACGTTTCGCTCAGCATTTCCTCAGTCTATATAATCTGAGGGACTAATAACCTCCAGCTGGGTTTGGAGCTTAGTTATGATTTTATTAATAATAATGACCTTCAACTATTCCATTATGTCTTTCTGCCTCCAGAACTACTCTCTGTATTGGACTGACAAAGCCACTGGTGGGCGAAACGTCTCCACAATATACTCAGGTGATGGACATGTGTCTTATTGGTCCGCTGGTCAGCTTTGTATATGATTATTATGCTGTTTTTAAGTCACTAAGCATCACTATCTTGAGCAATATGTGCTTAATTGTCCACTTATTGAGAAATATAGAGATAGTATAATAACCTGTGTGACATATTAAGATATCTTATTAATGAAAATAAGATACTAGATATATTAAGCAAATTTCCTAAATTTTCTTGTAACAGATAAGTGAACTGTAGATATAAATCCAAATGTACACCTGTGAACCCTTTTTGGGTCTAGTTCCTAGACCTTTTATGTATCCATATGCTCTTGCGCTACCGTCCACAGGATGGATATGGAGTGCACAATAAACTAGCCACTTCGGTGGCAAAATCTTAGCATCTCTCCCTTTCAGTACCTTCACGTTAGGAGAGTTCAGTGTTTACTTCACTTGCTGCGAGGATGGTCGCTAGAATGGACTGTGAAAACACGCAACACAAGTCAGGCCACTGGAGGCAATACATTGCAAAATTATCATAATTATCCCAGCGCAGTATATCGCTAATTATCATAATTTCGGAGTGGGACTCTTTATTGACACCCGGGAAGTTCTTGAGGACAACTGCGTTAAATATAAAATTTCAGAAATAAAAGTGGAATTTTATGTCGAAGAGTTAATTATCGGACTTGGCTCACAGCCTGTGTAATTATGGAGCGAGAGGGGAAGGGCTTTAGACGCCACACCTATGTTCCCTTTTCTTCCTGTTCTTTGTCTTCCCTTTCCCTCTTTCTCCTTGTATTTTGTCTCTTTAACTGTCTGTCTCTCTTTCCCACCCTGCCTTTCTCTCTTGGTTTCGTGTACATATATATATATATATATATTATATATATATATATATATATATATATATATATTATATATATATATATACATATATATAATATATTATATATATATATATATATATATATATATATATATATATATATATATATATATATATATATATATATATATATATACATACATATTGATGAGTTATCCCAGCAGATAAGAGTTCGACTGTAAAAAGAAAAAATGAGTGGGCCACGAGAGACGAAGGTCCAGTAACACAATTCACTGAGTACACAAGTTCATGGAATATGTCAAAACAACACAAGTTGCAGAACAATAACTTTTTAAACTGGGATAATATCTGGCTCAGTGAAGAGCTTCATCAAATGAAGGTAAAGCTCTAAATAGGGCGAAAAGTTGTGGGAATATACGCTTGTTCAACATCGAGTCTCAGTGCTTGTCGGCACCACGCTGTGTCATCTGTGCTCCTCAAATGGGAACCGTCGTGGCTAATGTACCGCTGGAAGAGTAAGGATTCGTGTAAGGCATTTGGAAAGTTTTTCTTTGTCCTACTTGGACCCAGAGGTTTGCATAAAAAAATATGTTTACTCTTTCTCCAGCGAGACTTCAACTTCACCCAAATTTTACTGGTCTGAGAGTCTGGATGGTGTCAAGGGTCAAGTGTCACCAACATGGTACTGACCTCAGGTTAAACGGCATCAGATGGTACTAACAAGGGACTGACCTGAAGTTAAAGGTTAAATGAAATTAAATGGCAATAACAAGGGACTAAATTGCGGTGGTAGCAACTAGAGGTTGCCCCGAGGTTCTGGATGGGGGCCAAAGGGTCATCAGGTGACGCGGGACTGACCTGGGACCCTCGGCGTGAACGGGTGCGTAGTTGTGGAGCCAGGTGATAGGTCCAGGGGGTTTTGGAGGTGCCTGCACCCAGCAAGTGAGTAGGAGACGAGAGCCAGCCTCCACGTACACCTCTGCTGGCCCTGGTATCACCGCTCCTCCCACTGTAAAGAGGAAATTATCATGGTACAGGTGACAGGATATATACAGAGAGGTTCATTTTCCCTTAACGTATATACGCTGAGAGTTGATTTTTAATCAATATTTTAGGAATTACCCCCCCTCCCCATGAATCAACTAGTCATGGTACATCTCTGGATACAACAGAATACTAACGACGGTGAGTGGAAAAAGATACAGGTACATGGTAAGCTTTTACTGGGACAAGGAAACGTTACCCCAGTAAAAGCTTACTGAGCTATATCAGCTCAGTGAAGAAGCTCCACACAAAGCAACAGTTTTGTCTTAATTGTTCAGCATCTCTCAGTTCCGTACCTGACCATTCTCTAAACTCTTCCACGAGTTTAGAGAATGGTCAGGTACCCTTTCCTTCCATAGATCAAATCTCATTAACCCCCCCATCCATTACCCATCCCTCCTTCCCTATGAATTTTATCATTTTTACTGAAAGATCTAGGAGTAAGAGAAGAACACACACACACACACAGAGTTGTTAGGAAGTGGGATAGTTTGGCAGGTGATGTAGTGGAGGCTGGAACTATACATAGCTTTAAGACGAGGTATGATAAAGCTCATGGAGCAGGGAGAGGGAGGACCCAGTAGCGGTCAGTGAAGAGGCGGGGCCAGGAACTGAGTCTCGACCCCTGCAACCACAAATAGGTGAGCACACCCCCCCCCACACACACACACAAACACAACACACACACACACACACACACACACACACACACACACACACACACACACACACACACACACACACGCACACACACACACACACACACACACACACACACACACACACACACAGGAGGCAGGTTCCATACATAGCTTTAAGAAGAGGTATGATAAAGCTCACGGAGCGGGAAGAGTGACTGAGTAGCGGCCAGTTGAAGAGGCGGGGCAGGAGCTGTCAATCGACCCCGCAACCAAACTAGGTGAGTACAACTAGGTGAATACACACTGTGGATGACCTACCTTGTGGATCATCTGCCTTGTGGATGACCTACTTTGTGGATGACCTACTTTGTGGATGATCTACCTTGTGGATGACCTACTTTGTGGATGATCTACCTTGTGGATGACCTACCTTGTGGATGATCTACCTTGTGGATTACCTACCTTATAGATGACCTACCATGTGGATGACCCAGCTTGTGAATGGGTGACATACCTTGTGGATTACCTACCTTATGGATGACCTACCTTGTGGGTGCCCTACCTTGTGGATGACCTACCTTGTGGATGACCTACCTTGTGGATGACCTACCTTGTGGATGACCTACCTTGTGGATGACCTACCTTGTGGGTGCCCTACCTTGTGGATGACCTACCTTGTGGATGACCTACCTTGTGGGTGCCCTACCTTGTGGATGACCTACCTTGTGGATGACCTACCTTGTGGATGACCTACCTTGTGGATGACCTACCTTGTGGATGACCTACCTTGTGGATGACCTACCTTGTGGATGACCTACCTTGTGGATGACCTACCTTGTGGATGACCTACCTTGTGGATGACCTACCTTGTGGAGACCTACCTTGTGGATGACCTACCTTGGGATGACCTACCTTGTGGGTGCCCTTACCTTGTGGATAGACCTACCTTGTGGATGACCTACCTTGTGGATGACCTACCTTGTGGATGACCTACCTTGTGGATGACCTACCTTGTGGATGACCTACCTTTGTGGATGACCTACCTTGTGGATGACCTACCTTGTGGATGACCTACCTTGTGGATGACCTACCTTGTGGATGACCTACCTTGTGGATGACCTACCTTGTGGATGACCTACCTTGTGGATGACCTACCTTGTGGATGACCTACCTTGTGGATGACCTACCTTGTGGATGACCTACCTTGTGGGTGCCCTACCTTGTGGATGACCTACCTTGTGGGTGCCCTACCTTGTGGTTGACCTACCTTGTGGATGACCTACCTTGTGGATGACCTACCTTGTGGATGACCTACCTTGTGGATGACCTACCTTGTGGATGACCTACCTTGTGGATGACCTACCTTGTGGGTAGGAATTGAATAAATTGTAATATTTAAAAATCCTTTTGCTTATGAGAACACTCAGGACTCTTAGCAACAAAATGCGTAAACAAGAATACCCATAAAAATACCCAAAACAACACTAACCATAAAATAAATCGCATGAACACAGTAGTAACAGTAGTAAGTAAAAACATTGCACTAAGTTAAAATAACCAGCATCGGTTTAACAAATAATGTTAAAAGTGTTAGTATCGAGAGACTACATTAAAATTTCCCCGAGGTCCCTACAGACACCTCGGTGATTATAAACACACCTTGAAAGGAAGATTCCTTGATGCTGGTGGCGGGGGCTCCAGTGCCAAACAATTGGTTTGCTTTTCCCTTCGTTAGATTGAACCCGATTGCCTCCTGTTCCTCAAATACTGTATGACTTAAGAACATAAGAACATAAGAAAGAAGGAACACTGCAACAGGCCTACTGGCCTATGCGAGGCAGGTCCAATTCTTCCACCGGCTTAAGCTCACTGACCTAGTGACCTTAAGCTTACTGACCGTCTGACCTCATGACCTAGTGAGGTCAGACAGGTAACTTAAGGGAGGAGCAAGGCATCCGATATAGTAGCACAAGCTAGTTAGGTCCAACTCACACCCACTTCTCAAATATCTTACTACTACTACTATTACTACTACTACTACTACTACTACTACTACTACTACTACTACTACTACTACTACTACTGCTGCTGCTAGCTGACCAGTAATAAAAATAATAATAATAATAATAATATAATAATAATAATATAATAATAATAATGAATACAACGATTTAAGTGAAAACGCTGATGTCGTGAGTAAAAAGTCAAAATGTACTCAATCAGTGTGAGATATTTGTGACGAAGCGTTTAGTGGAAAGTTTTTTCCATTTTTCCTGTAAATCCCTGGCACTTGACCTAGAAAAAGCCGTGATCACACTCAGAGGAGGGGCCTGGAGCTGATCTCCACCCCAAAACAAAATTTCTGGATCACCAATAAAGTTTATGTACCATAAAGCTGGGGGACTGATCACACCAAAAATTACCGCTGACTGCGTTAAATATTGTAATCTCTCCATATTTGATGAAGAGTGCCCCTGACGGCAAAACATTGGTCAGTAAAAAAAACCCAAAAAGTTTTTAAGGTATGTCTTATTCATTCATAACTAGGTGAGTAAAATCGGTAAATATAGAGATGGGTGATTTTCTGAGGACAGGCAGCGAGGGAGAAATCAAACATTTGGTTTCCGCTGTACATTTTCTCGAAAAGTTTAATTCGTGGAGATCCAAATTGCACTCAAAACTGAGATGAAAATTGCATTCTTTTTTGCGAAATCTAAAGACTAAAAATTTTTCTGGGAAATTTTCCCATTTTAGCAGTTTGGGGCACAATATAGAGGGGGAAAAAATTCCATGACCCCTTGTGTTACAGCGATTGGGGTTTTTGTGGAGTGAGTAAAAGAGAGAGAGAAGAGAGAGAGAGAGAGAGAGAGGAGAAGAAGAGAAAAGGGGGAGAGAGAGAGAGAGAGAGAGGAAAAAGAGAAGGGGAGAGAGAGAGAGAGAGAAGAAGAGAGAGAGAGAAAAGATCCTATGCTTGAACTATATACTACTAAAATACGCACTGTTGATTACAGAAACGGATTAAACAACAACTAATCGAGGCCTGCCCCAACGTTAGCTGTATAGCAAATAAGAATCACGAGCGACTCTTGTAATTACCGCCGCTAGAGCAAATGCAAAAGCAATCGTGGTCATATTTGTGTGGTCAACACCGCTGTGACGGGGTTATGTACAATCCGCAGGTGTTGCGTGCATGGCGGTGTGGTATCAGCTATAATACAACTGGCAAATTCTATAGAATTTAGTCTCTAAAGTATCACCTTGGCTGGTGTTTAAAGTTACTAACAGACAAGAGTGACCTCCTGCAGTCGGAAAGTTTAGTAATAACCCAACCGATATGCTACAAAACCAATCAACATCAACCAAACCGTAGAGAGTCCGGGGCTAGGAGTGCTTCTGAACAGGCAGGTGAGATCAGACGACAGTTTGCAAGTGCTGAGGATAAAAGAAGGTATTTTCATGAAGTGGCTAATAAGCTAAATCTGAGTCGCTCATTACCTAGACTTTAGAAGGATGTTCGATTCCCTCCTGGACGCGATTGATCAGGTGCTTATTGAGAGGCAAGAAAGGGAAGAAAGACGAGAGAAGACAAGTAGGGAGAGAATGAAGACAGAGAAGTTAAAGAGCCGAACTAAAGGAATGAGAAATAGTCAGAGAAAAAGAAAAGAGAGTTATGATTGAACACATGTTCATTGTCTATAATTTAAAAGTAGAGACAACAGATAATGAGGTGCGATTGTAGAAACCTTGTAAATAGAATCACGACGAATTGGGTTTAGAAAGACACGTAAAACAGAACAATACGACATATTTATTAGAACGTATCGCTCTGAACCGGGTTGATCAGTGTTTACTTACTTCACTTTCATAATACAGTAAATAGTTGTAGTGCTTAGATTTGAGAAGAACTGCTTAGCACGGGCCAGTAGAATCTACTGACACCCGATGGAGACTCGTCCTCCGTTCGATAACCGCAGCTCGACTCTGACCAGCTTACAGATGGTAAGCAACAACCTATAAATGATGATGTCACAGGGTACTCAAATTTCAGACGAACATAGGCCATACACACTGTTAGCAGATTGGTTGTGCTTAAAGGATTTTGGAGGATCGAGCCTTTTACAATCAGTGATATGTCAATGGCACACATCTGACCGTTACTGCTACGAGTAACAATTATCTGTTGCAAAGATGGTGCCAGTACCAAACAAGAGGAGGTAGACATTGTGCGACACCTGGGTAATTCATTAAACTGAAGAATGTGTCGCAACACATAGCTTCAGCAATTCTAAATGTAACAGAGGTTTTTTGAAACTAAGGTAGAGGTAACTGTTATACAGTAAAAAACGAATAACGAGTGATTGGTTGTGAAAACGTTCTTCAGAATAAAGCAATCCAGGTTTACTAGTAGTCTTGTTCAACCAACTTGCCGCACTGGTGTGCAATTAATGCTTAGATACCAGTCTGACAGGAATCATACATCTGTTATAATCCAACATGGTTATTGACACATGTCAACAACTGTAACATATTTATAGACGTTTGGCCACAATGTCTAATTAACAGTCCACGATAGAGCTACTTTTCTCCGCACGGAGGCAACGCCCAACAAGTTTTAGTAATGTAATTCCCGTTTGTATCTTATATGTCACTTTGTCCACTAGACATTCAAAGGTAATTTGTCTCAGAGTACTTCTCCAAGCCCAACCAGTGCTGTGGGGGGGGGTAACTCACCTAGTTGTACTCACCCAGTGATGTGTGGAAGTCTCGATTCACAGCTCCTGCCCGCCTCTTCACTGTAGTATAGTCGCTCTTCCTGTTCCATGAGCTTTGTCATAACCTCTTCTGGTGTGTGTGTGTGTATGAAGTGTGTGTGATGTGTGCGTTGTGTGTGTGATGTGTGTTGTGTGTGTGTGTGTGTGTGTGTATTGTTTGGGTGGATGTGTATTCCACCAGATTTTGGTTACAGGGGTCAATGACTCAGCTCCGGGCCCCTGCCTCTTCAACTAATTGGCTATACTTAGTCACTCTCTCTGCTGCTTCCTGAGCTTTGTATACCTCGTCTTGAAGCTAGGGTACGGTTCCATGCCTCCACTCATCCACTTGCTAAGCCTTCCACTTCCTGACGATTTTGTGACTGAGAATACTCCTACATCCCTGTGTGTGTGTGTGTGTGTGTGTGTGTGTGTGTGTGTGTGTGTGTGTGTGTGTGTGTGTGTGTGTGGTGTGTGTGTTGTGTGGTGTGGTGTGTGTATTGTGTGTGGTGATGTGGGTGTGTTGTGTTTGTTTGTGTGTGCTCCTTTATATGGTACTCCACCCAATGTGGTTTACCCAGAGGTCGAGTCTCAAGCATCCTGGTAGTTGCTAGATAGGTCCATTTCTCCCGGTTCCAAGTGCTTTATCGTACTTTTTAAGCTTATGTATGGACCGCCTCTACGGACTTCACTCTCTGACAAGTCTCTAACGCCGGAGATGAATAATTCTGGACAATCTTATGACTCACCTGGTTTCAACTTCAGTTGTGTCCCCCTCTGTTCTGTGTCCATTCATCTGAAACATTCTGGCCCTGTCCACCTGTTATTCTCACCAGATTTTCATACGTCGCAGTGTGTTGGTGTGTGTGTGTTTGTGTGTGTATGTGTTTGTTGTGTGTGTGTGTGTTGTGTGTGTGGTGTGTGTGTGTTTATTGTTGTCTTTACTGTGATGCTGTGATTCACAAAGCTTCGTGACCTTTCTGTGTAAGTCACTGAAATATTTTTATTTTCATCGCACACAAAACACACACACACACCACACACACACACACACACACACACACACACACACACACACACACTACACAACACACAACACACACACCACACAACACACACACAAACACACAACACACACACACACACACACACACACACACACACACACACACACACACACACTCACACACACACACACACACACACACACACACACACACACACAACACACACACAAACACACACATACCATATGACTCGACCACTGCAACCACAAATAGGTGAGTACAAATAGGTGAATACACACACACACACACACACCATATACACACATACACACACACACAACACACACACACACACACACACACACACACACACACAACACACACACACACACACACACACACACACACACACACACACACACACACACACGTTATTCCATCCCACAACAAGTTTTGTTAAGCTGGACACACAATAACCAACGCAGTTCCTGTCGTGTTGTCATTCTGTACCGTTGAACTTCCCTAGTGAAAAACCTCCGTTTATTAAAACCCTTGCAAAAGCGTCTTTTGTATATCCTCAACAGCGCTGAAGGCATCACCAGGTGAGGCCCTGCACGGGATAATTGACACACGGCATATATAAATATCCAAAAAATCCAGGAAAATCCTATAGTGCAATAAAGTAACGGTTGAATGACAATGGAGAAAAAAAAAAAAGAAAATAAATAACTTCAGATGTAGAAAGCAAATAAAATATTTTTTTTTCAGTCAACGTAAATAGAGGTAAAAGCAACATTGTCCTGGCAAAGAGAAGATGCAACTCTCTTGCACACATGTCTTATTTATCGACTTTTTCTCTTTTCTAAACCATTTATTCCAATACGTCTTTCTTCATGTCATTATACCATGTCTTTTGCTATGTCATCATAACATATCTGTTATCATGTCATCATGACATGTCTTTTGCCATGTCATCATACCATCTTTTATCATATCATAGACGGATATCATTAAAAAAGGGCTTTACGTCAAAGATTGTTAACTTTCCAGTTAAGACTTCTTATTTGCCTCCATAAATGAGGGTTAAAAACTACGGACTTTTCAAGTACACTCACTTCGATTGAAAAGCTCATTTATGCTAGGTAAAAGGCCACATTTGCAACAACTGCCACCATAAAATGTCGCATTAGTTGCGCATGTGACCTTTTACCAAAAATAAAAGAGACTGAAGAAGTACATTCAAAATTGAAAATTGTATAGATCAAGGAAAGGCCTTCATAATAAGTGGCATTCAGTTTTCGATGACTTCTGCAATTGCATATACGGAAAAAAAATTGCACTGTAAAGCGGAGCTTTGTAAGGGAGAGCTTACTGGCCCGTCGGAGCTTTACAAGAGAGACCTTACTGACCCCGAGAACGGTGATATTATTCAATAAATCCTGAAGCAATGACCACTCTGAAGGGGAAGTGCTCTTGGGAGATTGGCACACCTAACACACACCCGAAATTGGAAAAAACGCAATTTGGCGACATACTTGAGAGGAAATTTTATCGATTTAATTTCGTGTTGCGAAACTCTGATTTACTTCGTGTTTTTTTTTTCCTCTGACCCCATGAGTTACTTTCATTAATTGAATTTGAAGAGAATGAAAGGAAATCTTGTCTGATTTGTTGCTAGAGGAAATAACATAAAAAATTGAGTAGGAAATGTGAAAGTGTGTATACAATTAAAATTTGTAAATTTTGAGTTACGTTGAGGCTTAGTTTAGTTATTTCCTGCGATATTGTATAGGCTGGTGTGTGGATGAAGTTGGTTGTTGTTGTGGGGAGCAGGCTTGTTGTTGTTGTGGGGGAGTAGGATGATATTGTGGGGGAATACGTTGTTCTTGTGGGGGAGTAGATTGTTGTTGTTGTTGTGGGGGAGTAGGATGCTGTTGTGGGGGAGTAGGTTGTTGTTGTGGGGGAGTAGGTTGTTGTTGTGGGAGAGTACGTCGTTGTTGTGGGGAGCAGGTTGTTGTTGTAGGGGAGGTGCTGTTGTGAGGAAAGTTATTATTGTGGGGGAGTAGAGATGTTTGGGGGAGTAGGATGTTTTGTGGGGGAGTAGGATGGTATTGTGGGGGAGTAGGTAGTTTGTTGTGGTGGGGTAGTGCTGTGTGTGGTTAAGTATTGTGATTGTTGAAGGGTAAGTCACAGTTTCTTAATGACATAATCACTGTGAAATGGGGAGAATAGAATACGTCGCTAACAGTGAAAATAAAGAAAACAGTGAATCCAGTGAATACGGTGAAGACAGAACAACTACGTAACTTGTTTGTGTTATACTAACAGTGAACGTTGAGAGTAACAGGATGGGAGATCTTGGGTCTAGTGTTGACTTGGCACTCATACACGCCCGCATCCTCTACTGTGGTCTCCTCGATCACTAGGTCCCACGCCCACACCGCACCCGTCTTCCACGCCCGCACCTGTCAAGAGAGACCAGCTGTGGTTAGTGTTGTTTGCATGGCCACACCTGTTAGGGCAGATCAGCTGTGATTAATACTGGTCCCAGGCCACACCTGTTAGGGTAGATCAGCTATGGTTAATACTGGTCCCAGACCTGTGTCTGTCGGTAAGACTAACTGTGATAAGTATTCATCCTAGTCTCACTTTTCTCTGACTTTATATCCAGTTGTCTGTGTCTTAACTTACTATTTGTGAGATCGGTTGTTTGTAGGATCAATTTTTTTGTTGCCTACATCATGTGGAGTAAACTGTGTGGCGTCAGCTATTTGTGGGTTCAACTTTCATTACTTTAATTTCTTTCATTGTAGGTTTAACAGTTTGTGAGCTTAAATGTTTACGGTGGGATCAACTACATGGTCCCAACACTATGTGACTGTACTTTTTGCAGCTTATTTTCTTTCCAGTTCCTTCAACTGTTTGTGATTCTTAAAATTTGTGGATTTCACTCCCTCTGTAAAACTGAACTGTTTTAAAAGGGCTTTGACTCTCCTTTGTGTCTAAGGCTTCGTATCGCTGACAATTTGTGGCTTTTATAATCTTCGTTTACTGGATTAATTTGTCGAGTTGCAGGGGAAGTTTTATACTGAATTTCAACGCCACGGTTTTTCCTAATCTTTTCTTACCAAGTCTTTCTAAATATCCATTAAAGTTACAGTCACAGAGGTGGTATTGTAATTTATCTCATTTATAGGCTTAGATTTGTTATCCTACCTCATTTCGTTTACAGGCTTACAGTTCCAATCCTATCTCTGTTTATTTACAAGCAAAAAATTTTAATTTTGCACCAAAAGAAACTTAGAAAACTTACCTAACCTTATTATAACAAGAGCAATTTATTTTAGCCTAACCCAACTAAATATATTTTAAATACATTTACAATAATTTAGTACTAAACAAGCACAATCAAACATATTTTTTTCGTTAGGTTCAGAATGATTTTGGCAAAATTATTACATACACAAATTTTCTCTTGTCCTATATGGCAAGATGAGCGTTGCTATTTAAGACAAGATCGCAAGTTCTGCCTATTCGGCACGATATATATATATATATATATATATATATATATATATATATATAATATATATATATATATATATATATATATTATATATATATATATATTCGTCCGATATTAAAACTTGTCAATTATCAAGAACTATTTAAAGTTACGTCCTTTCTCATAAATTTTCTTTTACGTTTAAAAGATATATTTTTATCATAATGTTATGTAAAAAGTTTTAATTTGCACAAAAAAATCTGTAGAAAACGTTACGCTATATCCTATTATAACAAGAACATTATTTTAGCCTACCCAGACTATATGATTTTGATTTGTGTTACATATAATTTAATACTAAAGCAACCAATGAAATTACTTTTTTTATCGTTTTATAGAAGATTTTGGCGAAATTATGCATACACAATTTTCCGCTTGTCCTATATGGCAAAAGATGAGCGTTGCTACATTTAAGACAAGATCGCAGTTCTGTCATATTCGAGCACGAAATATATTATATATATAATTTATATAGTCATATAACTAGTGTCTATATAATATACTTAGTACCATAATACATATATATATATATAATATATATATATATATATATATATACCCATAAATAAAGATAGCTTGTATTCAATCAAACTTAATGAAAGTATATCAGTATTTCTATATTTATCCACTAATTATATCGGATACTTTGTATACTGTAGCCATACCACAAGTAATCACAAGACGCCGCCGTGTATTCACCACTACATATTTTGGCCCCTGTTATCTTTCAGAGAATATATAAGTATAATACCCACAGAGTTCTCAACTATATGCTCTGTTCGCAATAGCTGTTTGTTTTCCGGAATGTCAGTGTTCTCATGTTCCGCGCTTGTGTTTAGTGCTTCATAGTTCAGTTTGTTAAGCGTTTCCGTTCTCTGTAAATAATCTGTTCTTTCAGGGATTCTGCCTGTTATACCTCGCCCCCCCTCCTTCGTCTCCTGTGGCCTGCTTTCACCATACGTGCCGCTGAAAACATTCATCTGATTGACACTCTTCGTCTAGTAAAAATTTTGCCGAGATTCATAAAATGTAAATGCGAGGCGTGAAAGTAGCCTCACTCCGGCACTCATGTCACTTCCCAAACGCTTCCAGTAAGGTCATGACCCACCATGCCTTCACTCGGTAATATACCCTCCAGTTATACACAACACACCACACGACACACACACGCAACATACGGATCTATATATAATATATATAACTATATATATATAGATCATATAGATATATATACTATATATAATATAATATATATATATATGATATAGAGACAATATACACTATAAGAACGACGTCCCTAAGAAGAAGTAAGTAGAGAATTGGGCAAGATGACTTGAACCATATTCTGTAAGAGTTTTGGTAGACATAAGACAGCTGACAACAACATAATCCCACCAGCCTCAGCATTCCAACTCAAAATTGACTCTCTCCTTAAGACCAAGCTAGAGGTGTATGAATCTTTCCCTTGAAGATGACAGTGGTTCAAGCCTCACTTCCGGTCAACTTGGAGGCTAAGGGCAGTCGCATATCGTCAGCCCAGATAGCTCTATCAGCTTTCCATCCTCTTCACAGATCAAACGAGTTTGTTATGAGACAGAATTTTCCTGATAATCGATTAAAGTCAGCAAATAGAAAACTAGCTATGTCAGTGCCTCACTGAATGGAAGACTCTTGCTGCTCTAGCACCGAAACCCTAGTGCAGCACTGGCTCACAAAATGTCAAGCTTGCGATGGGCCCGATCGATGAAAAGTGCTTGCCAACATGCTTAGGGTCAAATCAGATAGGGAGATTGCCTCTCCAGCTGTGATGCACATATCAGGATAATTCCTCCAAACGTTCCCACAATCGGCAATGGGAACCACTCCTCCCACCCAAGACCCATCCGTATTGCAGTGGTCTGCGCCTTGCTCGCTACCCAATTTCACACGAATATACGCGCATTTGTTCGGCGACAGCACAAGCAGGACCAATACGGTCTACATGGATCTTAAACTGTTCAAAACCAAGGACTGGCATGCAAGACAGAGGTCAACGACATCATCAAGAGAACCTGCTACAGCTGGATGCCAGCCGAGAGGAGCCCCGAACACGGGGCCAACAATACCCACAATCAGCAAACCGCCCGACGGATCACATCTATCCTTGGGAAAAAATGGCAAGCCTAAGATAGACTATCCCGTGTGTCCACACTGGCTGAACCTTATCCATACAGGGGGGGGCCAGGGAGGACTGCTGACCCCCAAAAGGGGGGAGTTCAAGATCAGCAAGTACAGGGGCAAAGCCAACAGATAATTTTTCCCAGTGGGACGAGACCTTTTGGGGCATGGGAAAAAATCCACACGTTTTTTCCCTTTAAAAAATTGGATTCCAGCTCACGACACCCCCAGGGACCCCCAAAGGGGAGCCCTCATGTTCCCCCCTCCATAGCCATCCAGACGGGGAAAAGGTTGCTGCTACTTGGGTCGATCCACCTCGAGGGCTGGGAAAATTCAGATCTTTTATGTATGGCCTTGTATTCATTTGTTTTTTCTGTAAATGTATTCTGTTTATTAATAAATGTTCACATAAAATATAAAATATATATGGGTGGTAGGAGAAGAAAATATTCAACAGCTCCGGGGAGAACCTTGAGTTTTCCTGAGGTACGTTTACTGTCTTCTCAGAGGATGAGGGTCCCCATTCCAGATATATATATATATTATATATATATATATATATAAAATATTATATATATATATATAATATATAAATATATATATAGTATAATATAATATATATTATATATATAATATTATATATATATATATATATATATATATATATATATATATATATATATATATATATATATATATATATATATTTCAACAAGCCGGCCGTATCCCACCAAGGCAGGGTGGCCCTCCCCCCCCCCCCCCCAAAAAAAAAAAAACCGCAAGTTTCTCTTTTAAATTCAGTAATATATATAGGAGAAGGGGTTACTAGCCCCTTGCTCCCGGCATTTTAGTCGCCTCTTACAACACGCATGGCTTACAGAGGAAGAATTCTGTTCCACTTCTCCATGGAGGCAAGAGGAAATAAACAGGAACAGGAACTAGAAAGAAAATAGAAGAAAACCCAGAGGGGTGTGTATATATGCTTGTACATGTATGTGTAGAGTGACCTACGTGTAAGTAGAAATAGCAAGACGTAACTGAAATCTTGCATGTTTATGAGACAGTAAAAAAGGGACACCAGGCTCCCAGTGGAAGTGATTGTGCTCTGCCGGTGTTTGAAGGTACAAAGGGTTGGTTTACGTGTTTCCGAAGAAGGAATAAGCAACACAGTGTTGTGAGACAAGGTGAAGCTGCTAGTGAAGATAACTCTGCTGAGAAACACCATGATTTTTTTAAAGTGATTCAGAAAGGAGGCTTTGTTTCGCAACAAGTGTTTCAACTGCGACGAAACTAGACTTCTGGAAAAATGCCTCGCCGCACATATATTACAAGGGAGCAAACCACGGTACGGGTGGGAATTGAACTCGCGGCAAGTGAGTCGTAAAACTTGGCCATAAGCCAATGAATGACAGGCTTACCCTCCTTTTTAGTTCTAATGCTTCTGGTGGCTGCAAAGTAAAACCACTCCTCGTTTAACATGCAGAGAACAAAGTGTTTTTAAAAAACATTAGAAAGAACCTTCTTGGATGTGGGCCTCCAAGAGACTTGGAAGAGTTAGAGGGAGAGGCTATTGTGCAAGAAATTGTGTGTCTGGGCAATTCTATGGGCCTGAAACTGAATGAGGAGGATGTTGAAGAGTTGGTAGAGGAGCACAGGAAGGAGCTGAGGAACTGCTCGAGCTTCATAATGAAGAGGCAAAAACATTGAAGCGGAGCTCAGCTTCTGATGAGTCAGGGGAGGATG